CTCGAGTAGACTGGTCCACTCGCCTTGTTCGAAGGCGGCCGCCCGTGCCAACAGCTCCTCGCGGCCGCGGGGCCCTGTGTGCGCAGGACGCGCCAACAGCATGCGGGGAGCTAGAAGAAACAGTTTCCAAGCACGTTCTGTCGCCGTGTAGCTGTGGTCAGTGCCCGCTTCGTACGCCGTGCGCAGCTCTCGTAAGGCCAACATGAGGGCGTGGCGCACGGCCGCCCGGAAGAACGGCGGGACGTCCTGCAGTGTGGGGACGGGGCGGCGGAACTCCGCCGCCAGGTCGATCGCGTCCAATCGCTCCCATGCTCCTGAGTGGGGGGTCGGCTTTGCGACACATCGCTTTGCAGAGCCGGCTCCCCATCGGCGGCAGCGGGGGCGTCCTGGTCGCTGGCGTCGGGCTGGTCGTGGCGGCCGCGTCGGACCTGACGGCGCCGGCGCCTACGGCCTGGACCTGCGCGCGGGGGACACACAGGCGGACCGAGCTCGAACGCGCTCCGCATGTCATTCGCCCGTGAGATGTCTGCATTGGGACCGCGGTAACTGTCTGCAAAAAGGTCCGTTGGAAAAAAAACTCAGATCTACGAAGCGTGTCCAGGAAATGCTGTACAAAACCGAGCAGTTCCCTCAACATAGCACTCCCTGGCCGAGTACGATAAGGTTGAGTGCAGAAGTGTTACAAGCTTTCAGTTTGTCATGCCTAGATGGTTGGCGCAAGCCGGCGGTCTCTTCGTTTCGGCCCGAGGGTGCGCATCAGTCCGTAAGGGTAGGAGGCGTTTTGCGCCGTCGGCACTTGATTGAGGTAAACCTCTGTGCCAGTGCTACATCGAAAGCTGTGCACAGGCCTAGTGTGATTTCAAGAGGTTCAGAGAGCCATGGGTGGGATATGCAAAAAGAAAGCATGCATCAAAACTGGTTGTACGCTGGCCAAGGCCAGAGCTGCATTTATGTCCACACCCAAGGTTCTTTGGTTGTGAGCAGTTTATGGTAGTTAATCTGCAGGCTGAGGGCTGAGGGTCGCGCTTGCTTCAAATTTTTCCGTCCGCAATTTCGTTCCGACACCCCACCCAGAAACCACGCTCCAGGCTCTCCAAACCCTCGCTCCGTAGCCTCTCTCCGAAACCTCTCCCCAGAACATTTTCAAAAATCCAGAATTTCATTCCAGAACCTTCGGAACGGTTTGCCTTTCCGGGCGCATCCGGGCACCTTGTCCCAGAACCAGTACGAGCTTCTCCGCAACTTCTCAACATACGTGCCTCGCTGCGGAACCTTTGCGGAGCTCCGAAGATGGATGCAAGGACGCGTGTAGGAAGGTAGAGACGGGAACCATCTGTTGAGGTCATGCTGAGCAGGTAGCGGATTCCCGCAAGCTCACCGTCCCTCAGCAGTTGCTTGTGCTGGGAACAGAAATAGGAGGCAAGTGGAGCGCCGGAGCGCACCGCTTGGTCACGGACCTGGTCCGCCTCCGGGCCCCACGTGCCCCACCTGCAGCCCGAGCCGCGGCGTCTGTTAGCTGGGCCTGCCGCTGGTGGGGTGCTTTGGTCGTGGCGGTTGGCAACGCGTGGCCTGTTGTGGCGCAACCGTGTTTCACAGGCGGTGGTCCGCTTCGCGACCGCGTGTTGGTCGTGGCCGAGAGCGGGCCCAGCCGGCTGTCCTGCGCCCCTGACACAGGAGCGCGTGTAGTTCCGGTTGTGCATGTCCGTAAAGAGCTAAGATCTCGTGCCAACGCAAAAAGCCGTGGAAAAATTATGCATCCCGAGCTTAGTCAGACTTGGCAGGATTACTTTTGAGATGCAAAGTCAGGACCTGCCATATGAGCAATGGTCAATACTC